ATCCATTACTGAGCATCTTAGGTCAGACGATTATCAAATCGATCATCGACTTCTGTGCACAAGCTTCCCGCTACCAGGTGTAGTGATGCACTTTTCGATGATCGAAGAAGGTGTTCATAATGGAGAATCCGTTGTTTGCACAAAACCGCAACAACTTCGTGCTGTTATTGTTGAGGTCCCTAGGGCCGTTTTTCCCAATCACGCCGTTCCACTTTTCGGCGTCTACTGCGACGTGGGCATTAAAATCGCCCATGACTATGAGGGATTCTGTATTCGGCACTTAGGACGGAGCAGTCTGAACTTCCTCAAGGAAGGTCTCCTATTCTCCCGCGAAACTGGGCGCGTAGACCTGTACGTCGGTCATCGATTTTGCATGTTGTAGCTTCAGTACGTGAATTACTACCCTTCCGCTGACAGGCTTCTAATCGATTATTCTATCGGCAAGGTTGTGTTCTACCAGAACACCAACACTGGCCTGAGCGCAAGTCGTGATATCGACGCCTTAGTAGAACAGCTTCCATCCATTGAGGTTCAGGAGTCCAGGGCCTGCGCGTTTTGTTGACGAGAGTCCAACAATGTCGAGTTGGTACTTTGTGGCCTCATCAATTAATTCATGTTGTTTTCCTCTGAGTGAGGATTAGTTCCAGTTTAGACTTTAAGCTCCCACTGGTGGTGTCGTTCTCGTGGAGCCTTTTTTTGACGTGCTGTAATGGCATCGCGCCCTCTGCCTCCTCCGTTCAGAACGGGTAGCGACTCCGTTGCTGACTGGTATCTTCGTCGTCGTTGCGTCGGTCTTCTTCAGCCGTCGTTGTGGTGCCACGCACCCGGCTGGCAGAGGGCAATGAGCAGGTTCTGATCGCCGACTTTTCGCAGATAACGGGTAGCGACTCCGTTGCTGACTGGTATCTTCGTCGTCGTTGCGTCGGTCTTCGTCAGCCGTCGTTGTTGCCACACTCCTGCGGGCAGAGGGCAGTGAGCAGGTTCTGATCGACGACTTTTCGCAGTGTGCCTCAGTCCCCCAACAGCCTTCGCGGCCCTTGGTAACCCGGGCGACGACCGAGCTGGTATGATTTTCGATGGCGTCAGTACCATGAGTGGCAGGTGGCTGAACTTTTGCGGAGACTTGCCACGGTCT